CAGAACCAGGGATTGAACCCAGGCCTTGCACTTGACAGGGAAGCACTTATTCTACTGACCCATTTCCCTGGCCCAACACCCAGTCTTAGTGGCCATCTCAGCGCGCCCTGGGTGGGGGGCTGGCATTGCAGGTCAAGGGATCAAACCCCTGGCCCTTATGCCTGCTTGCCGGCACTTTAATCCACTGAGCTATTTGTTTGGCCTATAGGAATAATTTTGTTCCATGTTCACAGTTCTGTAGTTTACTGCTCTGCAGGAACTGGTTAAATTAGAAAACTTAACCATATTGAGTAGTAGCTGGAAGAACCTACTCCATAATTTCTCTGTTGCCACTTCATTTAAACTTCTTTCTGGGGTGGAAATTTAGTGCTGTATAAAGTGCTCCTGTAGCATGTACAAGGCTCTGAGCCTAATTACCACCATGACCAAAAAACCCTAATGGTCAGATGCAGTAGCTCAGCAATAACAGATTTGGGGAATATGTGAAGTGGTTGTTGATAAAAAAAAAATAGTTCTGAATAATGCTATGGATTGTTCTAGAGGAGGCCCATCTAGAATATGCTAATTAGTTCTTGTAGTGTAGGTCTCTGATCTTTTGTCATTCCTAATTCCTTCTAAGTAAAAATTTCTAGTCATAAGTATCTTTTTTTTTTTTTTTTTGTATTTAGTACAGGATGTACAGGGTCTCACTACACAGATCAGACTCCTGTAGTGATTCTCCTATTTACAGCCTCCCAAGAGCTGGGATTACAGGTGTGTGCCACCACACCCAGTCTCAGTCCCCATCTCAGTGACCCCAGGGACAGGGCTGGCATGGCAGGCCCAAGGAAGGAAACCCTGGCCCTGCGGGTGCTTTAATCCGCTGAGCTATTTGGCTGACCCTTTTGCATACTTTTAAGAACATTGTATTTACTATTTACTTTTGATGTTTGTTTCTAGTGAAATCTAGTAAAAGTTCTGGTTATTTTCTTTTGCTAATTCATGCTTATTTTATTTGTGAAAAAATAACCTATAGTTTTGTGTTACAATTTATAAAAACTCATTGTAAATACATTAGATACAGTTTTTGTACTTTTTTAGAACTTTGTGATAGTCTTTTTTTTTTTTTTAGGGTTTTTGTTTGTTTATTTTTTTTGGCGGAACCGGGGAATGAACTCAGGCCCTTGCGCTTGCCAGGCAAGTGCTTATTCTACTGAGCTATCTCCCTAGCCCCTTCGGTGATAGTGTTTTACAATAGCAAATGGACATAGTTGGGACATAGAGACTGAATAGGAAGGAAGTGCCAAAGATCTACAAAAGAAACACAACAAAAAAAAAAAAAAAAAAGCCCAAGGCAGATCTTACCAAACTGTGGAGGGAAAAGACCCAACCCCATTCAGACAAAACAAAAAAAAAAAAAAAAAAAAGGAGAAATGTTATTGTATGAGAGAAGAAAAATGTGTTATGAACTAGAACAAAAAAAGATGTCTCCTTATTATCAAGTATTCATAATTCAGAAATGAGGGGCCAGGGAGATGGCTCAGTGGAATAAGCGCTTCCCTGGCAAGTGCAAGGGCCTGAATTCAATCCCTCGTTCTGACAAAAAAACAAAACAAAACAAAAAAAACTCAGAAATGATGGAACTTGAAAGAACAAAGCTAAAAATATTCCAGTAGTGGTTAATGATTATAAAAGTGCTATGGCTGGTGTCGACACAGTTGACCAACATCTAACAAGCCATCCTGTATTCAAAAAGCAGGAAAAAATATTATAAAATATTTGTGGACCTTCTGAACCAAACAGTATATAACTCATTATGCAAAACAAGAGGGTTAAAATAGTCATTTACAATTGAGATTAGGTCTGATAGACCAAATAATTGAGAAATATAGGATAGCAAATCGTCAATCAGGACATCTTTTTTTTTCTTTTTTTGGTGGAACCAGGGATTGAACTCAGGCCCTTGCACTTGCCAGGAAAGTGCTTAATCCACTGAGCCATCTCCCTGGCCCCAAGGACATCCATTAATTTAGTGAGTAGACATTTTTTTTTTCTTTGCCCTGGAACCAGGGATTGAATTCAGGCCTTGCCAGGGGAATGCTTATTCCACTGAGCCATCTCCCTGGCCCCAAAACGAGACTTTTTTTTTGTGTTTCCAGGGATTGAACTCAGGACCCTGCGCTTTCCAGGCAAGCGCTTATTCTACTGAGCTATCTCTCTGGCCCCGTGCGTAGACATTTTATTGAAATTGTGACACCCAGAGAAAACAAGGCCAATACCACAGTGAAAGTATGTTGTTCAGAGAAAGACAAGAGTCCCCAAAGAACTCAGAGTTTAGACACTATTGTCCAGAGTGTAATGTTGCATTGTACGTTGAACGTTTTAAGATACACTACACAGAAAAACTGTTGAATATATTTGGTTTTTTGTTTTGTTTTTTCCCCATAATTTTATTGAGAAACAAATAGCAATGAGACAGTTTCAAACCAAATTGGTAGGACAGTTTCAATAATTTTTTTTTTTTAATTATGTGTGTGTGTGTGTGTGTGTGTGTGTGTGGCCAGCTCAGCCCACCAGGGGGCGGGGCTGGCTAGCATGTGCTGGGGGATTGAACTGTGGTCCCTGTGCTTTGCTAAGCTTGTTCTAAGAAGGTGTTTTAGACCACTGAGCCATCTCACCAGCCCCAGTTTCAATAATTAACACATTGCATACATTCTTCCTAGTGGTTAATTGCTGTACAAGATGCGGACTTGATATCCTATTTACAAACACCATTAGAACAAATCCCTCTATTCATTAAGAGAATGTAACTATATATCTA